TTCTTTAAATACCTGCTTTTTGAAACTTTTTCCCAATCATTCAGGGGAAAGAGGGACGCGCTCCCGGCTGGATCCTCTAGTACTGGTCACGATAATAATTTTTTTTATGTCACAGAAAATTCCTCATAGAGAATGAATTTTTCCTATACTTCCTTTTTCTTTTAATAGGTGTTTTTTTTTTTCCACCATCCCAGGGAGGCGCACCTCCTGGCAGAATTCGTTAGTGCTGGTCACGATTATTATATTTTTGTTTATTACGTTAGGGAATTCGTGAATGATAATGAATTTTCCCTATATTTATCTTTTCTTTAAATAGGTGCTTTCATCACTTTTTTCGGAATTTTTTCCACCATCTTAGGGAGGACGCGCCCCCCTGGCAGAATTTGCTAGGGCTGGTCACGATAAATTTTTTTTTATAGTACATTAGGAAATTTATTTATGAGAAAGGATTTTTCCTAAATTTCTTTCTTCTTTAAATATGTGTTTTGTCAGTTTTTCGGAATATCTCTCCCCATCCATGGGAGGGCGCGCCCCTGGCAGAATTTCGCGTTTGTTTCGAATTTTATCCACGAAGCAGCACGCTTTCGACAGAAACTATTCTATAATTTTTTAAACAAGATTAAATATTCTATAATTTAAGACCAAATCCGGCTCATTAAATTAAATAGTGTACAAAGTACAGGTTTTCAAAGTTTGGAAAATTTTATTTCCCATTTATAATATTTTTTATGATCACATGCAATTGTCATTTATCTTCAATAACCTGTCTGATATGAGTCGGTGAAGTAAATATTTATTCATTTTTATATTTTGATTGAGGGTGAAAAGATTTGGTGGGAAAGGGAAGTCTGTAGGCCAGACCCCCTCCCCTGCACCCTCCCCCACATCAATATAAATTGCATATCGTTGTGTTCCTTGTAAATACATATTAAAAAAAAAACCAATGTTCCCACAAAAAAAAATTGGCCAAACTGTCCCAAAATGGCGTCCAAACAAGGCGGATTGACGAAATTGACTTGAATTAGTTTTTCGGTTACTGGGATTCAGTAGTTGGCTTAATTTAGTCAAAGCTGGTACATTGTTAAAGCTGTATAGTGAGAGAATAATAAAACATCAACAAATTTTTAAAAATAATTGGCCTTGGCAACTAAAAAATACCAGTAAAGTCAACTTTTTCAAGTCGTTCAAATCACGGGCGGATCTACGGGGAGGGGGTGGGGAGGCTATCGGACTGAAGCTCCTCCTCCCCCCAAATGGTAAAATATAACCATGTCTTATGAAAAAATATTTAATAATTACCTCTAAAACTATTAATGTTCGTTTAATTACATTTAATAGTATTTATAGAATCACTTAAACTCTATTTCATATAAGTAATTAGTTCCTTTCTTTTTCTTCCTAAGTAATTATCGTTGTATAATTAAAAAAAAAAATCTTTCGGGCTGAAGCCTCCTCCAAAACTAAATTCTGGATCCGCTAGTGGTTCAAATTAAAGCTGAAAATCAAGGGCCATTAGTAATAACATGGCCAGCAATAACGAAAAACGCTTTAAAATAAAACATCTGGAGAATATAAAACATCTGGAGAATACATTTATTTTTCTAATTCATTGATTTTTTAACATATTTGAAACGGTTCTTTAGAAAATGCACTTAATCAGCGAAAAAGCGGCACTTGCGTAAGTACCTACAGTCAGGGGTGTCCAGAAGATGGTTTCATGGAGCAAGTTGCGCCATTAAATTTATGAGGGGCGCACATTTTGAGGGTGTTTTCAATTTTTAAGGGGGACACATTTCGATTGGGTTATGAATTTTCAAAATGAAAAGTTAAAAAAAAAAAAAACAATAATAAGTAGAAGCATGGAACAGACCGCAGGATATGTAATTGTATATATTCTATGAATATTTTTTTTTTATTTCTAAAAGACATTTACAACTGTATTAAATAAATACATCTAGTAAATTAGAACATAATGTATATAATGACATGAAACACACTTGCTGAGTAGCTACCCAATGGTAGCACTCTAATGATATGTTTACATTATGAGATCACGGGGCCATCTTCTTTTCAGACGCCTCGGAGGGTTATCAGGAATTGAAGAGGAAGCAAGGTTAGAAACGAGAGGGTTGGGATGATTCTGAAGTTTATTATGGAAGTATAGGTATCTGGATTGGGCCAGATCTGAAACAAAAGGAACATTAAGGTCATTATGGATGGTTTTATTTGTAACAAAGTAGGGAGCATTGAGGATTTTACGAAGGATTTTGGATTGTAAGGATTGGATACGAGAGGAATTCGATGGTTCAGTGGAGCCCCATAGCTCAACTCCGTAAGTCCAAATAGGCCTTTTTATAGTCAAGTATATGAGTCTTTTGTAACTAATTGGAAGATTAGAGCGTTTGTATAGTAAGTGCTGAAGTAATCGGAAACGTCGAGCGGTTTCTTGTCGTTTCAGTCTAGTATGAGGATTCCAAGTTAGTCGTTTGTCCAGGTGGAGTCCTAGGTATCGGATTTGCTCAACAGGGATAAGTGGTGTATTGTTAAATGAAACTGTAGGACAGGAAGTTGTTGGTTTACGAAGAAGGGTAAAGGTAATTTGGTGGGATTTATTGGAGTTTATTTGAATTCTCCAGTTTTGACACCATTCTTCTAGATTTATGATGTGTGATTGAAGCATTTGGGATGCAATTGCTGGGTCATTATTTACTGATAGGATACATGTGTCATCGGCATATGTGGTGATGACAGTGTTGGGATAGGTAGGGATGTCAGCTTTGAATATTTAAGTTCTACTTTCGTTCGCACTGTTTCTAAGAAGCAGAGAGCAATCAAATATCTTGAATCGGGTGGGGAAGGATTATGCCCCATCGGCCCATGGCCCCGGTGGGCGGGGGGGGGGGGGAGGAGGGAAGTGTGATTACCTCTGCCACCTCATTCGATTCTCCTAAATGGCATAGTTATAGTGCTATTCTCTTCATCTGTCTATTACATATTTCTTCTACCAAATAATATTTCCATCAGTTTCCTGTTATATTTTCAAAGATGTTGGCTATTCTCAACGGTGATCGCAGAATTTCTTTTTTCTAGCTGTTTTTTCTTCTTCGCTTTTTTATGTATTTGTATTATGTTTATATTTTTTGCTATGATTTTTCTCAACATCTAGCACCGGTCTCTGAAATTAAATTTCTGAGTCGAGTTGAGTTTTAAAAGGTGCGGTAAGCCCTTTTTTTTGTTGTTGTTCGCTTGTTTATTAGAAAGAAGATCGAACGCAATAAATGACTTTGGTTATTTTAGCTCACTTATTTTATCAATTAGCTTATAATATTAGATTCACATAAATCAACATAGTGTTTCTATCTCTTATTATTTATGGCCATTTCTATATCCATGTGTCTTACTCCTTCGAAATAATAAATTAAATAAATCTTTACTTCACTAACTCTTATAAGGCAGGTTATTGAAGACATAAACATCAGAATTAACTTAACACTTCCAAGTTTCGAAATTTTCATTCGACCGGTTTCTTGTCGTTTCAGTCTAGTATGAGGATTCCAAGTTAGTCGTTTGTCCAGGTGGAGTCCTAGGTATCGGATTTGCTCAACAGGGATAAGTGGAGTATTGTTAAAGGAAACTGTAGGACAGGAAGTCGTTGGTTTACGACGAAGGGTAAAGGTAATTTGGTGGGATTTATTGGAGTTTATTTTAATTCTCCAGTTTTTACACCATTCTTCTAGATTTATGATGTGTGATTGAAGCATTTGGGATGCAATTGTTGGGTCATTGTTTACTGATAGGATACATGTGTCACCGGCATATGTGGTGATGACAGTGTTGGATTGGGTTGGGATGTCAGCTGTATAAACTGTGTAAAGGATAGAACCTAGGATACTACCTTGAGGAACACCGGCAGACTGAGTAAAAAGTGATGAATGAGCATTGTTATGATTGACTTTGAGCCATCTAAATTTATGAGAGGCACTAGCGAATCCAGGATTTAATTTTGGAGGGGGGCTTCGGCCCGAAATATTTTTTTTTTTTTTATAAAAATTACGATAATTATTTTGGAAAAATAGAAATAAACTAACTATCTATATGAAATGGTGTTATAGTGATTCCTTAAGTCCTTTTAAATGTAATTACACGAACAATAATTTTTTAATAAGAGATAATTTTTTAATATATTTTCCATAAAACATGGTTATATTTTACCATGTTGGAGGAGGGGGACTTCAGCTCGAATCTCCCTCCCGTAGATCCGCCCGTGATGACAGGAGTATATTTCGACTGGGTTGAAAAATTTTGGAATCAATTAACGAAGTTCCAAACGAGGAAACAAGGGGAAAACAGAGAGAGTGCAGCAACTATTATTGTCAATCTACATTTTTTCTAACTGTATTTTCGCTTGCACTGATATGAAGAAGAGGTGAGCCATCTAATATCATGGAAGGGGAAAGGGAAGGAGATTGAAGCACCACAGACCTTGGCTATGCCATCAATGGGTAGTTTCTACACTAGCTTCTATCATGTAATAATATTTTTAAAAAATTAACTATCTTTGTTAGTATACGTTCCAAACAACTAAGGCTCTTCCACTCTGAACGCGATATGTCCCGGTGATACGACACTTTTGTCAATATCGCTGTGGATTATCCCGCTCTGTGTGACTACTACAATGCAATATATAGTAATACAACTATATCCCTATATCACCGCCGACAAGAATATCGTATCGCCGAGACGTATTTAATAAGTGTGTAAGGATCTTTATAGCTCCATTTTTATTTTCCTCTCCAATTATCCAAATATATTTATCGTTAATTAAAATATGTAGCTTTTCTCTCCATTTAATTTTATTTATAAATTTGATTGAAAGTAATTATGAAATAAAAAAAAATGGAAAAAGTTCTGCAGTACGTATATTGTGATTATTATTCGAGAACAATTAAGAGATTGAATGAATGAATTTAATGTAATTGTTTTTAATTTTTTTTTTTCAGATGATGACCGGATGGCTCCCTCCACTGAGGAGCCGCGTATTCCGTATGTTATTACGGAAGATCGTCTGAAGAAGATAAGATCAAATTTCATGTATTGGTTTTTTGACCAAGATTCTAATGATGGTTATGGAGATCTGCAGAAGGACATAACACCATCGATTACCCAAGTTAATAAGAATTTAAATTTCCAATTGCCGTTTTTCGGATTCCGCTTCAATTATACAAGAGTGAGTAATTGAAATAAAATAATAAATAATAATAATAATGTATCAGTTTCCTTACTTAAATCTACTGGTTGGTATGAACATGGATTAGTTGTTGTATATTTATTTAAAAAAAAGTGCGAAATTCAATTAAACAAATGATTTTTACTGTACATTAATGATGCAGTTATATTTTTACATCTGTACGTAATTTTCAAATTCTTCAATTCTATTCATTAATTAATTATATGTCTGTATAGGTTTCACTAAACGGCTATTTAGAATTCAGTGACCCTCCGGAACAATACAGCTACCCCCTCAATTTCCCAAGTGTGGACTGGCCACGTAAAAACGACCCTGCGTTCATTGGAATATTCTACAGTAAGTGCAGGATCGGACAATTGGGTATCAATGATGTAGACCAGAGAGAACCAGGAGTGTATTTTAGGTACTGTTATTTATTTTATTTATTTTTTTTAATTGGGGAGGTCTGTATAATATAATATTGATATATATTTCCTAGGCTACTTAACTAATTGTAAAAAAAAAATCTTTTCGAGTTGTGTTATTAAAAAAACAACATAAAAACGTATATAAGCAGGACTATTTGGCCTAAAACTACCTCAACAAAATTTTAATTTAACGAAAAAAAATATTACTATACAGGCTGTCCCGTAAGTATTTATAGGAGCGGTAGCATCAAGAGCTAAAAAACAGTTTAAGTAAACATTGGTCTGATTTTCAGCAGAGAAGCAGGAAATTTAAGTTTTTATGTTTTTTTTTAAGTATGTCATGTTTTACGTTGAATAGGAACCGATAAATAAAAAAATATTTAATTTAAGTAATTATCAATTGCTATCAATTGGATATTATAAAAATTTACTTAATATTTTGCCATTGCTAAAACCGTTTAAAGAGGACTTTTAAATGGCTAAACTAAGCTAAGTAATGTTTTTAAAATAATCATTAATCATTCGCGATTTTTTTTTTAATCATCATCCTCCAACTATAATACAGATGCCTCACATTTAGAAAAAACTTTCCCGTTTAATAAGCTTGAAGTCCATATTAATTAAGTTGAGGTTTATTCGGGAAAAACTTGAGATTCACCTCAAAATGATGTGATTTTATTTCCTGTAAGCAAAAATGACTATATTATATTGTTGCAAAGTTTTTAATTTCTCGTTTTTACATAATTGCCTAAATACACTTTTTATTGATAAAAAAAGGTTTAAAATAATGATTGTTCAAATATTTTTCAACGAAACGTGGTTATAAAACTGTGTTTTTCATCCAGATCTCTATTACAGGAATTGATTCGTATTTATAAGTGACAAACGAAATGATCCTGATCCTAATATATAAGTATTCATGAAAATAATTGAAGCAATATATTTTAGTAAGCTACTTTAAACGTAAATTTTACGACTAGAAACATTTATTTTGTTACTTATAAATTCCTGTAATAGATATCTTAATAAAAAGGACATTTCCATTATCACTTTAGATGCAGATAATAGAAAAATCATATTTGTTTAACACTTTTTTTCAGAAATAAAATGTATTTTTATGCATTTATATTTATTATGATATATTCCAGGTAATAAAAAATAGAAAACAAAGCATTGCAATAATTTATTGGAGTCATTTTTGCTAAAAACGCTGGTACTTTAAGGGTACAGTATATGAAATAACATTATTTTTTTAACACAATCTGAGGTGAACCCACAAGTTTTTCACCTCATTAACCTCAACTTAATTAATATGGACTTAAAGCTTATTAAACGAGCAAGTTTTTAAAAAAAAAATATGTATTTGTAGTAAATTGGGAGAATGAAGAAAAAAAAAATCGGGAATAATTAATATTTTTTTGAAAAATAGAACTTTGCTTATTTTAGCCATTCAAAAGTCCTCTTTAAATGGTTTTAATAATGACATACTCTATTTTCATTTAGAGTAAATTTTGTCTAGTTTACAATAAAGCAATTGTTAATTACTTATTTCTTTAGTTATCGGTCCCTATTCAACCAAAAATATCCCCCTAATAAAAACAAAACATAAAACTTAAATTTCCTACTTTTCTACCGAAAATCAGACCATTGTTTACATACACTTTTTTTGTAGTTCTTGAAGACTGCTAACGTTCCAATTAATATTTCTCTGTACTTATCGGACACTCTGTATAAATACTTTGATGAAGAATATAGGTAATAAAGTTCCATGTTAATGGTAAAAGTTTAACTTGTATTTATTTAAGATCATAAACAAATTTTCGGTAAATGAAAAATAAAAACCTCTAATTGGTGGCTTAGATTAGAATTTTGATTCGCGTTAAATGAATAATCTGTGATTCTGATGTGTCGTTTGTTTGAGTAGCTAAGAAAAAAAATCTTTTTTTTTTCATCGAATTTTTAGCGAAATCGAAAAAACTTTTTTAGAACTAAAGCTCTGTAAAACTTCAAGTTCCATGAGAAAAAGTTCTAGTTCCAAAAGAACTGAAAAACTATCGACAGTGAAAATTACAGTTATACCAAAACATTTTAAAACTTTAAAACTTTTTTCCCGTTTCAAACCCTGGTATCAAGACAATGCATGGATTCACCTGTTTTTGGAAAGGTTATAGAAATTATGACCAATTTATAAATAATATGTAACAGCTATGTACATTCAATTTTTTTTTTTAATAGGATGGAAAGGGACTTGATGACAAGAAAAGATAAATTCGGAGTTGAAATGAGAGAGAGGGTGAAATGGGACATACGAGAAAGTGTTGTCGGCTCCGATTCTTTTGAACCCAAACATGCTGTGATTGTTACCTGGAAAAATGTTTCGTTTGCTGGTGGCATTGAAAACTCAGTACAAACAGTAAGTTATTTTCACAATTGAATTATTGTTTTAATGTAAATTTCCTACTTTACAGAAGATCTGGATGATATAAAGGGAATAATATTTGGAAAATCATGGGTGATAAATAGTCAGGACGCAGTCATTTTAAGATTTTTGTTGCTGCCGACGTTTCAATCCAAGCATGTGGGTCATCAGAGCATGTTACCAGTACTGAAGGTGTTCAGGTACATACTGCTGTTGAAATACTATTGAGTACTTGAAAACCTTCAGTACTGGTAACATGTTCTGATCTATGATCTATGATATATGATGGCGCACCTCCCTGGGTTGAAACGTAAGCAACAATAAAAATTTTAAAATTACTGCTTTCTGGCTCGTTATAACTCATAATGTATAGAACAACCGACTAAGTTCCTTCAATAATTCTTTCGAATTTCAGCAACATTTGGAAAAGGAGAATCAAGAAATAAATACGTATATAATTAATGATCGTGATACAGAAAAGGAATGTTTTGTAATGATAAAACCTTCTTTTTTTTTTTTCAGACAAACACGTTTCAATTGGTTCTAGCAACAGACGAAGTATTCACTTATGCTATATTCAATTATGCTCAAATTAAGTGGACCACACATACTGAAGCACGAGGGGACACAGTTAAAGGAGAAGGAGGTGTGCCAGCATACGTAAGTCTACATTTTACCAATAGTGGATTCAGTATATAATTGGGAGGGTTAGGGAGGCTCACCCCGAAAGATTTATATATATATATATATATATATATATATATATATATATATATATATAAAACACGATAATTACTTCGGAAGAGAAAGAAAGAAACTAACTACCTACAATAAATGATGTTTATTAATTGTAATTGCACGAATAATAATACTTTTAAAGATTATTTTTTTCATTAGACGGGATTATATTTTCGATTTTTTTTTTGGAGGGGGAGAGCTTCAGCCCGAATCCCCCCCCCCCTCCAGGTAGATCCGCCTGCGCATTTTACCCATATTTGTTATTAACATTTTTGCTTTTAGTTGGATAGTTTATCTACAAAATTGAGTCTTATATCGGGTGGCATTATATCACAACTGATAAAACACTTGAGTCGCCACGCCCATATTTTAAAATACGCAAGATAAAAAGATTATTTATTTTCTGTTGTTTGATTTTTAGTCTAAATTAAATTTTATTCATCACTAACAAGATTTTTTTTTCCTACCTATTTTCAAAATATTTTTTAAGTATCATCTGAAATATATTACTCTCATTTTATTCCAACCATGCTAGAATACAAACACGTCACTCTACTACCCATTTACTTTTTATGTTCATCAAAATTAGGTCTCAAGCGGGATATAATATAACGTTTATGGATGAATTTTAATTAATTGAAAACAAATATAAAATAAGAAACCAACGAAGTTTTTATGAAACTTTTTTTAATCTTTATGCTATATCGAGATTTTTTTTCAATTGGCGAAAACAAAATACCAATGTATATCATGCATTTATTCAACTGACTTTCTGATACAAATAGACTACTGAGTTTTTTTTTTTTATAAAATGGAAATTATTGAAAAATGGTCGATATAGCGGATATGGATGATAAATAATCAAGATATGCAGTCGTTAATGTTGTTTATTAAGATGAAGTTCCGGCCGAAGTATCATGGTTCATCATGGCTGAATTCGAAAAATAATGCATATACTTCACCTTTTTTTTTTTTTTTGTCGAATTTGAATCTCGAAAATCCTACAAAATGGGAAAGTGGATCTTAAGAGCCGTGACACATTTGAAGTTTCCGACAAGAATTACAATCTATATAAAAAACTTTAAAATGCAGGTTCAATATCTAAAATTCTTAAGGGTAGGGGTTTGTTACCCCTACAGTTGAAGGGTTAATTATAAATATTTAGGATAAATGAAAATAAATTAAACGATATAATAGCGAAATTATAATATTAAAAATAAATATTAACAAAAAGGAAACTTAAACTAATCAAAATAAAAACTGAAATACAGGAATACTTGAATATAATATTTACTATCATTCACGGGTAGTCTGCGCCAAATTCCAACTCCCTCTCCCCACATCTGGAGAGAAAAGCAGGACTCTAGTATATATATACATATATATATATATATATATATATATATATATATATATATATATATATATATATATATGATACCATGTTACCAGGTGGAGGCTGAGAAAAGGCGCTTATTATGAATTTAAGGATCGAATTCGTCACTTCTTCATGAATTTTTTTTTTTTTTTACATCGCCTTTTTCTACATCCATCGCTTTTCAGATCTGGGAAAGAGAAATATTCAGAAATAAGATACAGTAGATAGTGGATTCGTTGCTGTAATCAAACCATCTAATTTTTTATTTGTTAAAAAAAAATATATTGCACGAGACAAACTTTCTCAAAAACCTAAGTATATTTTTTATTATCATTAATCAAGATGCAACTAAAAAAAAAAAATCTTTTTCTTTGTTTTAAATTTTTATTTTCACATTATATGAGGAAGATTTACATGATATCAGCTAAGGATTCAATATATATTTTTTCTATTTAATTTTTTATAGCGGTAAATTACACTGAAAGAAAAAGAAAGATTCTGTTTGAAATGATTTTTATGGGAACTATGAGGAACTGTTACCTGTTACAGGAACAATAATGCTTTTAGGAATACTTTTTTAAATTTTTTTTCTTAACACATTCTTACTTATAGTAGCTGCATTATAATTATATATATGTATAACAAATGTGCATTCTAATTTTAAAAAAGTATATATTATGATTGTATAAGTATTTAGCTGAAATCACTCACAGAAAAAGTATAGACCAATTTAATTTTTTTAAAAATATTTTTATAAAGTGGGTTAATATTTTTTTTTGGTACTTGTGAGCAACGCGGGCTCTATGGACTGCTATCTGCAGTTGTCTTGTTATTTAAAGTGTTGTTGTTGTTATTTATATTTCTTATTATTAAATTACTGTATTATTATTATATTTATATTTCTTATTAATATATATATATTAATAAGAAACAGGCAAAAAAGAGGCCAAATATATTTATATTTCTTATTATACGAGAAATTTCATATGAAGATAGGGATTATCAGCGCCTTATCACAATTATCAGTGTTCAGGTTATAACCATTGGCAGATAGCAGTCCATACAGACCGCGTAGCTCACAAGTACCTTTTCTTTCTTTCTTTCTTTTTTTTTTGTTAATGGGTTTATAATGAAAATCATATATCATTTATTTATTTATAATTATATACATATATTGAAAAGCAATTTTTTACGAGTTATACAATGATTCACCAATTTCAGAAATAATTGTGTCCTTATAATGGAGTCAAGACCCCCAAATGTTCTAAAAAACAAAATGATGAATTAATTGTTTAATGAATGAAGATACACACAAAATTTAACTAATTATTAAAACACTTTTGCAGATAGGATTTAATGCTGGCAATGGCACAAGAAGTTACGAATATAGACCTTATTCACAGACATCGACAATCAGAGATTTGGTTGGCCGTGGTTGGGCTAACGGTTTCCCAGGAAGGCACATTTTTAGAATTGATGAAAATATTCTTCCAGGAACTTGTAACAAGGATATTGGTTAGCGATTTTTTTTTTTATATTCATTTCTACTTTGATTCATTCATTTTCAACTCAATCTAAGCATAATTGCGATATCGTGTTTATCGATTTATATGTATTAAAATGAATTTTTAAGTTCATAAAAAAAAACACATATCTACATATATTTGAGTATTCTGTGTATACTATATACACAAGTAACATTTAAAATTATATAGCCTGTTTTTCAACCAGAATAATTATGCAATAACAGTTTGAAAAATTTAATTTTTTTAAAAAATATTTATTACTCGTATAACGAACAAAGTGAAATGATTTATTGTTCTGAATTTATAGCTGCAGCAAGTTTGCCTCTCGCATTCGCTCCTGAAAGTGGTAACATGCTCGGTGGTACCATAGTGAATATAACAGGACCTTGTTTTGAACCAACTATGAAGATTGTATGCAGGTATATTACAATAATATAAGAAACAATCTATTATATGTATGTAAAAAATAGTTTTATTTATATGTAATATAATCGTGCAGCCATGTATTTATAAACTACGGTTTAACCTGCCGTGATATAAAAGAACAGCAGTGCCCAGAAGGGGGTTTCGTGACGAAAGTTGTGCTATCAAAATTTTTGAGGGGGACTCATTTTGACGGGGTTTTGTATTTTTGAGGGGGGCATATTTCGAATGAGTTATGAATTTTTTAAATGAAAAGTTTCAAACCAGGGAACAAAGAGAAAACATGTAACATACTGCTGTAAGTGTAATTGTGCATGATCTAAGATTTTTAAAAATCTACTTTAGCTTGCACAGTTTTTAAGAAAAAGAATGCAATAAAATATCTTGGGAGGGAGGGGTATATTCTTGCGCCATTGACCTTGGGGAGGATGGGCACCCCTGAAATAAAAAAGTAGACTTTTTTTATCTAACAATCTATCTTTTTTATTTAACACATGAAAGGTCAATCACAAGAATGGAATCTTAAATTTTGAATTAGTATCATAGCTTTCTTGACTATCAGAACATCATTCAAGGTTAAATTGATCTTACCATGATTTTTTATAGCTAAAGAGTTTTTTTTGCTTTTCAGATTTGACATGAAAGCTGTATATGGTACAGTTGTGGACAGGAATAGAGCAATTTGTGTTCAACCTTTCGTCATGGCAGAAGGTTACATATTGTTTGACATCGCCATCGATGACGGAAAATACGTTTGGAAGGGACAGTATTTCATCGGTAATAATTATTATAATGTAGTTACCACTGTTTTTTTTCCCACTTCAAACAAAATGAATCTACTATATATATTTTATTATCTTCCTTAACGATCTTATTGTTAGTTGGATGGCTTAATCATTAACCACTATAGTGAACTAAATATAAGAAATTTCGGTGGTGTAAATAGAAAGTTTAAAGATAGACATAGAACACTATATAGGATTAGGGGATCCAGGTGTTAATTTTGGAGGAAGGTATATTTTTTTAACCGCAATTACTCAGTAAGAAAAACAAAACCTACTACCTATATGAAATATTTGATATAGTGACCCCTGAAGGCTAAAAATATTAATAAAATAAACAACTGTAATTACAGAAACAATAATGCTTTTAGAGATATAAAATGGTAGATCTTGTCAATGCTTCTCTGTAGTATTCTAAAGCAGTCAAAGCGATCAGTTGAAGTGAGCCGTCAGTGAATTACCGAAACCATTGGCAAGCTGGGTGAATGCTATTATTTTAATTTTAATTTTTTTTTTTTGAAGCGATAGGGATGTCAGCATAAGTACAGACTTTTCATAAGCACATTCTGGTTGAGGGAGAGGCGATTGGTTCTCCACCCCCCCCAAAAAAAAAAATTATCCGGAATTTATATTATTTATAAAAAATATGAATAATAATTAACATAATTATTGCAAAACGTTTTCCTTCTTTTTGGAACAGAAAGCGATGGTTAGAAGTCTAGTACTTTACCCATTGTCCCCTTTCCCCTCTAATCCTATAACTGTTCGAACCAATCTGTATTAAAAATGGTAAATGTAAAATATATATTAATATGTTTGATATAATCTAACATATAATTATACTTTTTTAATAAATAACAAATCATATTTCAGAAACACCTGCAACAGCTGCTGAAAAAATATCCTTCGCTGACGACAGCGTTCACCAAAAATATCCTCCAGAAGTCAGAATAACATGGAATCAGTATAATTTAACATCAAATTTAGCTGCTCCAGTTCAAATTTCAATATGGGGATACAGGGAAAAATCAATCCGCCCACAGCTACTTTATATAGATTCTTTAGACGTAATGCATATAATTTATAATTATTCTATAAATTATATATTTTTACAGTAATATTCAATTTGAGTTTTTTTTTTTTTTTTTTTTTTTTGTCAGGTGGGTGTTCCAAACAATGGCATGTACTCGATTATTCCAGCAACTTATAAAAATCGTGATAACCATTTATTCACTGATATGAGTTTCGGTTTCATACAAATCAACCTGACGACTGCAACGGAATACAATGGACTTAAAGTAACCCCGTAAGTTTAAACGAATGTCATTGATTTTGTTGTTGTTTTTTTTTTTTTTTCAAAATTAACTTTAACATTGTTTTTAGAGTTATATGGAGCAAGCCAATACCCTTAGGCTGGTATTTCGCCGCGCAATGGGAAAGGCAACTGGGTTCTAATTGGCCAGAAGGGAAATGTAACAGTTGGATCATGAACGATCGATATCTGAAGAACTTTCCTGCTGAACTGAGTATTTGTCCCTGTAAATTAGAACATGCTCTTGCCGATAAAGGAAGATTTATGCCGGATTTCGACTGTGACATGGACGCTAACCCTCATTGTTTTTACCATGAAGGCGCTAGGCACTGCGTAAAAACAGGTGCTCCCAGGTAAATATTTTTTCCCTTGTATATATGATCTGTTGTTGTTTTAAATAAAAAAATATAATGATCAAATTATTCTTCAAGACTTTTACATAGGGTTATATTTTAAATTAAAAAAAAAAAAAAAGTGTGATTAACTAATTTGATGAATATGTCAATATTATTATCTTTTAATATTGTTTTGTTTGTAATTAGGCAGGAAGGTTCCGAACAGCAATGTTGTTATGACAAAAACAACTATTTGATGCTTTCCTACGATCAGCAGTGGGGTTCCTCGCCGAAGAGGTCCAGTAATTTAGGAATCTTGCCATGGAATGAACCTAACAAGGTATACTAAAATTAAAAAAAAAAAACTGGAAAAAAACATTAAAATGCTGTTACTTAAGAATTGAATGAGTTGTTGTTGACTTGTCAAAAATGTCATGGAATCCTCAGAAATGACAGTTGATCTTACTCTTGTTTAATGTTTATTAATTTAGTTTAAGCTAAGAATTCGATGAGGTAAAAGCCTTGCCCCTCTCTATTGATTCTCATCGCTTCCTCAAATCATAAATTTGACAAACATTATGACTTTTTTAAAAAAAAAAACATTCTGACGTATTTAATAATTGCATGCAATAACTCTTATTACAATAACAAAAGGTCGTTTTCGAAGCATACACGGAAATCAGCTCATCCTTAAATTGTTTGTTTATACTTGGATAATTTGGTGAAACTTTTAACTAAATATAATAAACAGATTTTTTAAAATTAATTAAAAAGTATTTGGACGTCCAGCCGATTTACATGAGATCCCATGCTAGAATTATTTTTCTTTATTATTTCTATCCTTTTTATACTAATAATAGCCTACGAAGTACGTCTCCCAAAAATGTACCTTGGGATATTATAGCAGATTATTTCTGTTATAATTTAAGTCAATAGAGTCTTAATTTAGGTTTAGAACTTGGATTCTCACTTTCCCAGGTAGTGATAATTACTACACGATTTGATTCATGAAAATAGATGATTGATGCCTTCGTGTTGTAATATGATATCATCAGAAGGTATTATATTATATCATATATCAGGAGATGTTCCTAGCTTAAGTCTGTCATCTTGATTCATTAAGACATCAAATCCATCCGCTTCTTCCTCTTTGTCTTGACCTAATAGCTGTTTATCACGGATAATTGAACAGAGTAAATCGTAGACCATTCGCTCCAGGTGTACCCATCTTCCAAGTTGATGGATTATAAGTCCCGATGGGTTATGCTCCCCTCCCAACATATTTTGTTTCTTTCCTCTTCAAAAACAGTGCAAGCGAAAGGATGATATAAAAATTCCTAGATCATATACAAATACATTATCTATGGTCTGTCCTATGTTTCTCCTTGTTAACTGGTTTAAAACTTTTTATTTCGAAAATTCATAACACCGTCGAAATGTGCTCCCTCAAAAATTCAATTGTTCCCCTCCCCCCCCCATCAAAATTGTTGATAATACAACTTGCACCATGAAACCTCCTTCTGCGTACTCCTGATTCGATCACTATACTCTCTTTTGATCATTTGAATGATAGGAGGGTTCCGGTAAACATGTAACCCCAGGTCTTATAAAAGTATACTGGCACTAGTTCTAATAATGGGAATGAGTTTCGACAATGAGGCTTTTGGTGATTTTTGACTACTGGTGGCTACCTTCAGATTGCCGAGCTTTCTGGGACCAACCGCATCTGAGGAAATCGTGTCCTTTTATAAATTAACGAATCTTCTTGAAAATATTTTTAAAACATAACATGTTAATGCAATCGTTAATATTTAATGTTTATGGAATATATCCACGATAATGGAAGTATTATGTTATATTGGTATAGATTAATTTGATTGCAAAGTGATTTCCAGTTTATTAACTTCCATTCTGTTAACTTTTATTTCTTGTCATTAATTATCATTGGTATTATTACATGTTTTAGGTTCCTACTCTGTCACAATGGTACCATGATATCTCACCCTTTTACCATTGTTGCTTGTGGCAGTTTGAACAATCAGTCGGTTGTGAAACATTCAGGTTTGAAAGAAGACCTTCACAGGACTGCGTTGGTTACCAATCACCTTACATTGGTAAGTAGGCCTTATTTAATATTTAGCGCAAAAACTTGTTACGGAGTACGGGCCGCTTCCAATAGGCTCAGTACTTGGATCTATCCTAAGAAACGTCTCTGAATTTTCAATATTGAATAGGATTCTTGTATCTTTTGCGACAGCATTCAACCATTTTAGGTTTGCTCAATTTTATAGCTCATATAAGTTTCTCGGTGTGAATCTTCTAGGCTATTAGGATGAGCTTCCATTTTTACCATGTGGCCTATCCATCATAGTCACCTAAACTTGGATGAATTAAGAACAGCTAAGCTTTTAAAAACGTTGTAAAATTCTCAATTACAGTGTCTTATCCATACTTCATATTTATATTTAAGGGTCCAAATATCTTCCGTAGGATTGTTCTCTCAAATAATATTTTATGCTCTAGGCCTCAATATGAAATACTATTAGAAATAACCCCTCATCCAAAACAATAGCGCTTTCCTCCAAGGGATTGCAGATCTAAATAGGGATATCATTCAATAGCTGTGCAAATTTATAGTAGAATCTAAAACAGACTTTTAAAAATAAATAATACTAATAATTTATATCCATACCTTCATTCTATTACAATATAACTATAGGGGCAGTATAGGTCTTCAACGGAAGTCTTGGGCAATTAAAAAAAAAAAAAAAAAAAAAAAAAAAAAAAAAAAATATATATATATATATATATATATATATATATATATATATATATATGTATATATATACTTTCTGCAATGTTAATGAATAGGCTGATTTATTTTCCTCAACGAATCTGGGTTTCCCCAAAAGATTTCCACAAGCTCCACTGGCTCAATCAGCCTACACTGATATGAGATTTGCTATGCTCAAAGCTTTTTTTGACTTGACAAACCCATCTATTAAGGACTTCATATTTTTAGGTATAGGGTTCCATCTTCACTTTTGCAAAATGTTACCTAGGACTTGAGCTATTGAAATTTCACTTTTATTTAATATACTTTACGAAAGAATAATCGGATCAAGCCAACAAAGAACAATGAAACAAAGACAGCTTTTGTCGGTGACAGTGCCATGTGCACTTCCTCACTGCTGTTGAAAAACCCGTGTTCTAGAAATAGCTAGGCAGGGGGGAGGGGAAATGTCCACTCAGGCCAATGGGACCAGCGAAGAGGCTCCACAAAAGGTGGTTTATATTTTGTACTTCTTAGGTAATTTTCTAACCATTCTCTTCTTAATAACGGTGGAAGCGAATGTATAATTATGAAAAATTGTAGTTTATTAACAATTACACTTACTGTGATCCGTTCCACGTTTCTTCTCTTACCTCTCGGTTTCTCCAAACAGAAACCTCATGGATGGCATTGTTTTATCCAGTTTAGAGACGGATCCGATGTCAAAGATGAGCACTGAGTTTAGAAACTTGCCCTGTTGTTTGCTTGAGATGAAACAATAATCTTTCCAGTTAAAATCTACTTACATTAAAAAATATACGAAAGTGCCACTTTATATCATTGATTATTTTTTTAAACGACTAACGATTGTGGTTATTATATTTTTCATGTGGTAAAAATATTGGCCTGAATAGGAACTAATGAAATGAATTTCATTCAATTCCTGTAAAAGTTTTTTAAATGTTCATTTTTTTTAAACTATAGCAACTGTTTTTGGAGACCCACATTTCATTACTTTTGATGGTTTGGAATACACCTTCAACGGCAAAGGAGAATTCGTACTGCTGCACACCGATTCTGAGAAGTTTAAGCTAGATGTTCAAGCAAGGTTCGAACAAGTTGGAAAAAATATTTATGGTGATGTGGCAGCAACACAGTTGACATCTATAGCAGGTTGTAGTGCAATGATATCAATTTTTAAATTATACTTAAATGAGACGCGTAATAATAAAGGAAATATTTTATTACAGCAAGAGACAATACTTCAAGCATCATTGAAGTAAGGCTTAGACCAAAGGAGGCACAATGGAGGTACAGACTAGATGTTTTTGCAAACAAGAAAAGGATATATTTTGACAGGCCATCTCTTCGAGTACAACACTTTAGAGGTTTGAAATAAGACATAAACAAATCATCAAAACTAATTTCTTTATTTTAAATCTATATCTGTCAAATGATTTTTTTTTTATTATAGTGAAGTTATTTGTGAGTTATGTTTTAAAGATTTAATGCAATTGATTATTGATTAATATAAGCCTCTATTATTTTAGGTGTCACTGTTTATCAGCCTTCACATATACTCAATCAGTCTGAAATTGTTATCATGTTTCAATCGGGTGTTGGTGTAGAAGTTGTTGAAAATGTAGGATATATGGCAGCAAGGGTTTATTTGCCCTGGGAATATATTGTAAGGGTTTTAATAAATTGATGATGTTTTCTTGAAAATGGAATTGAAATAATAATTAATCTTTAATTTATGCTTTGTTAAACGTATAGAACAGAACAAGAGGCCTGTTTGGAAATTGGAGTTTCGATCCTTCGAATGACTTCACTCTACCAGATGGAACTGTGGCCAGTGCCGATTCCCTGAATGATTTGGAAAGAATACACAAACAATTCGCTATTCATTGTACGTAACCTACAGTTATTAAATCAATGGTTATTATAATAAAAGGGATATAAATACCTTTTTAGAGTTTAAACAGTCCAGTACAAATTTGTGTCAAGAAATAGTGAAAGAGACATAGAGAGGGTCTATTTGTATTTGAATTCCTGAATGGATATATTAATTACCTAATCATTACATATTAAATTAAAACATACATGGGTTTGCCACTTGACATTAATATTTATATATAAAATTATTACAAACCATTGTAACTGATATGAAAATATTGTTTCTGTAGCCTGCCTTACAACATCCAATTGTCAAACTTAACTTATAATGAATGAAATAATGTTAATAAGGTTAGGTGATGTCATAGATGGGCATCATCATAATCTCTGATTATGGTCACGATTATATTAAAAAAAATAACATGATTATTTGATTTCACGATTGCAATCGTAATCACGGCCATGATTTTGATTGTAATTACGTAATTAGAGTCATTATAATCAAAATCACTGTAGTATTAATCACGTAATCGTGATCACAAACTCAAATACACACGATTTCTCTCGGTTCAGAGATTGGCCAACAGGAAAATGGGTGTACAACATTTTCTAATTTTTCAATCACTTGTCCTCTTATATTTTGTGGACAATCGAATTTATTTTCGGATATAAAACGCCTTACCGTCTGTTTAGAGGTAGAATAAAAGAAAACTGAGTGAAAATTTTCTAATTTTTCATTAAGGTTCATTCATTTTCCGAAATTTTATTAACTTTTCTTTTTTATCTCAAGAACGGGTTTTCGGTTTTTATTTGTTTACGGTTCCAACTATTTTCCTACTTTCTCGTAATACAAAAGCAAATAACAATGGGAACTTGAAAAAAACTAGTGATTGAGTGAAATTTCTAAAAAAACTATTTATTGCAGCAACTTTTTACAAAGACGATTTTTAGCACACACATTAATTATAATAATAATTAACGTCTGGTTTTAAAAGTTTTCATAACAGCATTGTTGCCAGCAATTAAAAATAATACATTTCACATATTAATATAAAAAATTCAAACGTTCATCATAGATTATCTTAACAATTTCCCGAACACCTACTGTTTAGTGGTAGATTAGAAGGAAAAAAGGAAAATTAGTATGAATTTTCCAAATTTCCAAACATTTTTCGTCTCTTATCTCGATAACGAGTGATCGGTTAAAATAAACATGATGTGAAAATTTTTTACCGATTTTCATTCGCTTTTCAACTTTTATCTCGTGACTGCGTGTTTTCACAGATCAAACAATTTTCGTGGAGTACAGAGGTAGGGTGTAATAAAAAAGAGTTAATACCCACAATAATTAACCAATGATTAGTAATAATTTAAGTTTTATTCATATTGAACCGTATATTTATTTCAGGAACAAGTACATAGCAAAACTCCCCATCTAAGCTAAAATGTCAATTGACTGCTTCTTCGTTCAACTATTGTATGTCAAAATTTATATAATATAACATATTATTTAGTTAGTTTTTCGAATAGCGAATAATTAATTTATTTTTTATTCTAAATGACGAATAATTGAGTGTAACTTATCTGACCGGTTAAAGGTAGATTGAAAGGAAAATGAGATAAAGGAGGAAAAAGCGAATAAAAAATTGGAAAATTATCACGTTCATTTTTCTTTTAGTCTAATGTAAAAATTTCATTTCATCCGTGTAAATACATTCGTTCATACAGTATTTTAGGAAATGATAATAAACAGTGAAAACTCTCACTCGCTTTTCATTTAGCCAACTTCAGAACTGTGGAAAATTCCTTTGATCCTTGAAAATAGATTCGATTGTTCACGAGATATAAGAAGAAAGAGATTGAAAATCTAAAAATATTTCAAATTCGTTTTTCTTTTTCTTTGACTCAGAACTGTCGGAAAGTCGTTTCAATCGCAATCATCAATTCTCCTATTTGCAATAAAAAGGTGATAAGCGAGTGAAAAGATGGAAAAGATTCATTATATTTTCCTTTTGTTCTACCTTTAAATAGTCAGAAAATTTGACATTCAATTATTCGTTATTTAGAATAACAAATAAATAAATTATTCGCAATTTGAATAACAGATTAAATAATTTGTTATACCATTAACCCTATACTGGTTAAAGGAAGAAACGGTCAATTGACATTTCAGCTATGGGGAATTTCGCTATATACTAATCTACGCTTCAAGTGAAAAACACTTAAATTATTACTAATCGATGGTCAATTATTGTGGTATGAACGATTTGCCATCAAAAGGCTTAACGGATCGAAGCGAAACGTGACCCAAAATAAGGATTTCATTATGGTAAAAGTACATTAGAGTTTTAAAAAATCGAATTTGGAAAAAATGTTGTTTTCCACGGGTTCCGGAGTTTTTCTTTATTTATTATTATACAGTGATTTTGATTACGATTACGTGGTTATGATTTCAGTGATTTTAATTACGTGATTACATGATTGTAATCGTCATCAGGTTTCATATTACTATTTTAATCAGGTAACCGTTCCATATTTTTGCTATTTTTATAGAACTATGGTATCGAATATAAAATTGGCATGGTTATTAAGTTTTATTTTCATTTGTAATCATGTAATCATTGGTTTTACGATTTTTCCCATTTCTGGGAGCTAATAAAGATGATGGTAATGGCAAAAATAAAGGTATACTTATCTTATGACATAAAGTGGCCAGCAAAAATTTTCATACACTCATAGGTTGAAAATTAAAAAAATTCCCTACTACATAATTTTTATTTAATTGTCTAAGTTTAACATCAATACCACTTTTATTAAAAATATTTGCCAGATAATGAATACATATATTTATACATACATATATACATAATGAATACATATTCTTCCCTGTGTTCAGATTTAAATCCTATCAGACAATTAAGGGTTTCTTAGTTAATAAATGGAAATATAATGCCGTTAAAACATTTCGCAACTAAATTCTTGAAATAAAGGCGGAAAATTCACTCCAAATAGACTTCGAAGTTGACCCCAAATGGTACTAAAATAAAAAGGACTTCATTCAAGACAATAATTTAAAACTTTTGACTAAAATGAATACATAAATTATTAAATAATACGGATATGTATAAAAATGTTTGCAGCATTAAAATTGTTATTTTATATTAAAAAAATTATTTAAAATATATGTATTCATTCTTAGGCAAATATTTTCAATAAAGATTATACTTAAACAATTAAATAAAAAAATATGTAGGAGATAACTGTTTTTATTGATTTTTTTTATTTCCAACCAATGCATGTATGAAAAAATTGGCTCGCCACTGTCCATCTGTGAGGTAGAATCCCCAATCATCATAAATTTTCCACTTGTGGCTCGAACTTTATTTCTGAACTAACACTGTTGTCGGTAGAAAATTTCTCACTCTTCCCTTTAAATTATCTCTGAGGTTTGTTCTTGGTTGGTCGATGGTCGATAAACTAATTGAACAGGTTAAAGTAGTGGACTGAAACATGTCCGTAAAATGAAAACCATTCTTGTATGAGATGCATTAATGGAAGAATAAATAAATAAATTAATACATTTGTAAAGTAAAGCTCATTACTGTATTGAGCGATATAAACTATTTTTACTTTCACATACTAGTTTATCCAGACCAATTTCATAAATATTTATTTTATTAAAATACTATTCAAATCTATAAAATATTTCAGGGAGATTAGAAGACAACGTTGAACCAAATAAAGGTGAACCTCTTTTTGTCAGAGAATATGGAAGAACATCAAGTTATTATTTGAATAGAACTTTTGTTCCTGTATGGAAATCAACTCCTCAAGAAATTATACCTCCTAACAGGTAATATATGGTATTTTAGAGAATGATTGTGAATTTGATTATCATGTGAAAAAATAAGAATAAAACTTTCAAATTCTGATGAATAAAAAAAAGGTTGAAAATGATAAATTTTATTAAAATGAAAGGTATAGTAAAAATGTTATATTAATTATAACTGTCAGAACTTGTTATACGCCCTATATATTACTGAAATAGTTAGCAACATATACTTTATAACTGTATACTGTTATTAGTCCAAAGAAACATTAAGTTGCATAATTATTGCACATTAATTCATTAGCTTATATTATTTGTAATTATTTCAGAACTGCTCAAATACAACAAGCTCTAGCACTTTGTGGTGAATCTTATCAATGCAGATATGATTATGCTGTCACCTTAAATAGAGAAATGGCTTTCTATACTTTAAATTATTACAGTGAATATACACAACTAAGACAAACAAATAAAGACAGAGGTAATATCTATTAAATAGTTGTACTCTTTTAAAAATATTGCTACTCTTATTTTATTACCATTATTAATATTAATTTAATTTTAGTGTTAAATTGGTTAAAATCAAAATATGTTCTCATCTTTTTGATCATTTGTTAATCTAACTATAGCTGAATGAATATGATTTGTTTTCCTTAGAAAATCACTCAAATGATTATATATCAGTACATCGATGTTGCTATTAAATATCTCTTCTGATTATAAAATATGGTAAATGTGAAAGTAGAGAGATTAGATTTCATTAAATTGCTCACATAAAACATAAAATAGAGTAGAATGGATATAGCTACCTAATAGGAGGGTTATAAGTGGTATGACCCTGTCCAGCCTGTCTCCATCTTTTAACATATGACAGAATTTAACGTATTTGCCACAATGGTATAGTTTTAAAAATTAAATTAATACTTTTAGAAAACTATTAACTAATTAACAAATTGTATAACCTCAAAAGAGAGCCAAACCATGCATCAAGAAGGGGTATTGAACAAATAAAAAGGTTCACTAACATTTTACTTTTAATTCAGCTGGCATGCCATAAGATGGTACTGGAAGAGTTATTAATTGTTAATCATTAATATTGATTAACAATAACTACTCTTATCATTAATCATTAATAAATTAACAACTCTTCTTCAACCTAAGGAAATAAATATTAACAGATATCAATATTATTGATTCTGTAATTTAGCTCAATTTTTAGACTGTTGGCAATAATATTTAATGCAACTTGTTTAGAATTATCAAACTCTAATTATCAATTTTTTTTAGTTTGGTCAAATAAAAGATCCTTATCTTAGTCTATTTTTAAAATTTAGAAGGTGATAATGAATCATTTTATGTAACTTGTACTTTTATTTATTTTTAATAAATTAGTTTTTTATTATAAAAAAATTAAGTTCTCTGTCTGGGCACATCTTTAACTATTTAATGCCTGGAATTACATAAAGTCTTAAAATTACAATAATAATTCCATCAGTATCAATTTGATTAGTAATACAAAAGACATTCACTTTAATAACTTATCTAATATTTAATATTTATCTATTTTTTAGTTTTGTCTTGTGGGGTGTTGGAAACACCAAGATTTGGGCGAAAATCCAACTTTTTCTTCGTTCCTGATTCTAAGGTTATATTTGAATGTGATCAAGGATTTATTCTTGTGGGTGATCAAAGGCGAACATGTTCCTCAAATGGAAGGTGGTCTTTTGAATATGGATACACTGAATGTCTACGTAAGTAAATACAATAGTATTAACTGACATAAGGTAATCGACATACAACCCTGTATTTGAAAATTACTTACATAATACAAAATAATGAAGTAATCAAGAAAAGAGGGGGCCCTGAGCAGTAAACATTTCCTGTCCCTGCCCCAAAAAAGTTTTTAATTTAGTGACCATAAATTGCACAATTAATCTTTTTATTTTTCTAACTATTTTATGGAGGTTTTGTTGAACATTTTCAATCAATTCTTAAATCTTTAAGTTAAGGTATTTTAAGACCTTGGAATCCTTTCTTTCATGAGCCATATGTGACCACTTAGTATGCTTACTACTCAATCCACCACTAAGTAAACATTAAAAATTTGTAAAATATTTTTTTATGAAAATATTATACTTATCATTTCTTGAGAATTTTATTTATTTAAATCCTCATATTTAATGATTTGGGCTTTTTCTAAGTAACTTCTTTGGTTGTTAAAACAATATTGTTTGGATACAAACATTTAAGCCAATGTCATGGTAATTTGAATCAAGCTTTTTTAAACTCATATTGCAGATTATTTTAAAAAAGAAGAAAAATTATTTGGACATTAAGATGTCAAATCGCTTTTTATTCAACACATCACTATATTTGTAACATTTGACTATCGAAATATGTATTCAGCTGAAAACATATTATTGAGCCCATGTACTATTATGGAGGACAATTCCTGCCTTTTTGATTATTCATTTCTCATCAATCAGTATACTCCTGACAATAGAAATCATGATCCAATATATATACATAATGACACAATGACTAGTAAATTTTAAACCCATAAATAATATAAAACAACTAACCATCTCATAAGACAATATAACAATATATTGGACCATTAAAATTACAAACTTTATTTATTATTTACAATTCATTTTCACTCTTAATTTTAACTTTCATGGGTTACTTGTGAATTGAAAACAAAATTTTTTCAGACCATTTTATGTTATTTAAAACGATAATGTAATGAAGATTATAAATTTTATAATAATGCTGATTGGGAATTTTAGGAAATCGGTTAATGATTGTAATTTTCATAAATTGTTTTCAATATGCAGGTAATTCTTGAACAATTAAGTGTTTTGATTTTGGATATAAATTATTATATATTTAAATAATGGTTATTTTGCACTCGTTGTCATTGCTTTATTCAAAATTTAAAAATTATTTAATAAATACCAGATGGCTTTTTTTTAATACATATGTACTAAGTAGTTAATTTTGATAAACTATAATTATTATTTATAGATTGATATATATATATATATATATATATATATATATATATATATATATATATATATAGTTAACTGTAAGGATGAAATATCATGATATGCATTTTTCATCTTTAATAATTATTATCCTTGGTTTTTAGAGTTTAAATATTTATTTTTATGCTAATCAATATTTATGAAAGAATAAGAAGTATAACTTCTGAATAAATATAAATAAATAAAACAATTAAGCAGAATGTATTAAATCATGTAATGCAACATTTAGTAAATTGCATTATCTCTCAATTCAGATATATTTACGTGTTCACAGTTGTTAGTTTTGCTATTCCTGTTGCATACATTTCATAAAAAAACAAAAACAAAGATTTCATATATCTCTGCTGTTATGCCTATAATACATTGAAAAAAAGTATCATTTAGAAAATATTTATTGCATTTAAGTGGGAAAATAAAGTTTATATTTTTATTATTTTAAGAACCAGCTATTATGTCTTTTAAGTTCATTTTTAACCACTAGTTAAATTTATTTTGTATTTATTGATGGAATTTATATTGATGTGAATTGTATACACATTTGCAGCCAAACTTATTATTTTTGTATTCACTAGAATTTAGTATTATGTTCTATTTTAATTAATTTTTAATGCTAGAGTTAAAGTGACCGGTTAATTTTTTAAGTTAAAAACAAACTCTAAAAATAAAATCCATGGAGTGTCTTTGTGTTTAGTAATTGGACCATTTAACCATGGTTGTTGCAGTATAGGACTTCAATGGAAGTCTTGGGACAACAAATTTAAAAAAAAAAAAAAGTCCAATGAGTACAATAGGTGATCTGGGTGGAATCATGCTTAGCCGCCATATTTTCCCTCCATCCTATTGAAAAATGAGATATTTTAGAGGCTGGGTAGTTATTCCTAGGTGTGCCACAAGAAGTTTTTTTAAATCCAAGATCATTCCTTAATCTGTATTGGTGTCTTCTAATTGTTTGACAGCACTAAAATACATTATATTTGATGATGATGGAATTCATGCTTACATATGGCATGGGATTATTTGTATCATGTTTATGAAATAACATAGAAAGTGTGTAAGTTTATGTCAGTATTTTTTCACCAAGACATTACATTTTAAAAAATCGCATTTAACTTTGATAAAATCCGTTATGCAATAATAATGTGAAAAACAGTATTGAAAATATTTTAAGCAAATCTGAAAATCAGTTACTACGTTTGTCAAATTGCTTAAATTATATATCAATACATAACTAGTCATTTATGAGGTTCAATAATGATTTTTATCCTTCATAAATATTTATAATGAAATTATTTGCTTATTATTAGTACTTGTCTTAGTATATGCAAAGTACAAAAAAATATAATTTTTTTATAACAAAATATTCACTATTTTCGTCAAATTTTTGCAGTAATATCAATAGTGTTACAAAGGTTGAATACAACCAGAGGCAAACCTTTAAAGGACACTGTCCAATTCATTAATACTTTTTTCACCTCAGATTTAAGATATTTCACAATAAAAATACTAATTACTAAATACTTATGATAGATATTAATGGACATTACAAAGGTCGGGGAAAAAATCAATTTGATATTAAGAAAAACTGTTTACTCTCAATAATAACAATCAAAGAGGAAATTAGCCTACTCTTATTTTTATCATCTTCACTAAAAACTCATTGATAATCAAGAATTTTCTCATTGATTTCTCTATATTCAACATTCAGGCTGTTTCATGTTCAATAATTAAAAAACTTAAATTCTTTGGTCTAGATGAACCCATAGGACTCCACAATTAAGTTTTTAAATGATATTTTGTTGTTAGCTACACCAAGAGGTATTTTATGGACAGCACCACAATATAGACCTGTATGAATGAATGGGATAGGGAATAGTGGACAGGAAGTGAAAAACCTAGAGAGGTTGTAAATGGTAGTCTGGGTGGCTTACAATTATGAATGGAAAAACCACTTATAGTCTATTAAAGTTATTATCTCTACAGTTGTAGTCAAACTCAACTACTATTCTTATTTGGAATAATACAGATTATAATTTTTCCATTGCTTTAATTATTTAACTTTTTATTGTTTTTCAATTCAGGTCTTGTGTAACATATATATATATATAGGGCCTGGGGTAGCCTAGCGGGCTAAAGTGCTTGCAATAGATAATAAAAGTTAAGCAAGCCACGCTGCCCGAGATTCCTCTCCCTCCGGGTATGTGAGACCCGTCAGGCTACTGGAGGCAACTCACCCCGACCGGGCGTAGGATTGATGACCCTACCCAACTTTAAATCGGGAATCGGGATGTGGTCTAAGAGACCACACTCGCGATCAAAGATCTTCATAGGGATCTTTTGGTGTAGCGCCAACCAAAAAAAAAAAATATATATATATATATATATATATAACAACACAATTTATAAATAATAGGCTAACTAATAAAAAAATAACTTAATACAAAATGTAATAATATCTACATTGATTTACATAATAATATGGAAACACTAAAAGAAATAAAAATAAAATCTTCTCAGGTATACTTGTAGTGTAATGACTAAAAAAGAAATATATATACATAAATACACATATTGGTACATAGAAAGACAAAAGTGTAATCTGGATAAATAAAAAAATAAATAAAACAATAATATAATAAAATAGGAAAAGTAATAACAGAAAGGCATTGATTTAGATGTTAAAATATAAAAAGTAGACTAAATTAATATACTAACACTATAATATAATATGTTAACAGTTAAACAAAAAATCATCTTAAGCGTGATTATAGTTGAAATGGAAAAATAGATAAATATAAAATAAAAAAATATAATACATACATATAAACATATATACCACCCAGAAAGAAAGAAAAAAAAGCAAGATCTGAAGCGAAGAGAAAAACAAATAAATAGTAAAAATAATAATCAAACTAGTTGACAAAGATCATTGATGTTTTATGCAAGAACTTAAACAGTAGGCTTATAATAATAAAAATTGAAAATAATAAATAATTTTCAATAGATTTACTGTTACTGGTACTAGTAATTGGTGGGAGAACTAATCCGTCAAGTGGGCTCAATCGTGTTAATTTTTTCCAACGTCTGATGGCTACCTTGAGGTTGCCACCCCCTACCTACCAGAGTAAGAATGTCAAAATCCATCTACCCGGGCCACTAGATCCTGGCAGCTCGCCCACGAGCCTGTCAGGAGGCTCTGAGGAGGCAGCCCCTCTACCTGACTAGGAGGGCGAGGGCTGATAACCCTCCTCGCTGAAACTTCTTCATCTCGAGACCTCAACGAGAAATAGCCAGCAGATCATATAGTAACAGACAATGGATATGGAAACCGTCAAATGGACTTCAGATTAGGAATGTGGAACATTTTAACTTTATATGGACCAGGTGTGCTTCAAGTCCTCCTTTCAAAACTGGACATATACAGACTTGACATTACCGCTCTTTAGAAGATCCGCTGGAGCGGCCATGGGCTGTTGGAGAAGCAATCCCACACAATATATTATAGCAGCCACGAGAAGAATCACTCATTTGGCACTGGGTTCTTTGTGAGAGGTTGAATGAGAAAACAGATTATTAGATTCAACCCTATTAATGATCGTCTATGTACCATCCGCTTCAAGGAAACCTGCTACAATTACATGCTATTTAGCTGTAATGCACCCACAAGCCTCAAGCGATGATGAGAAAGACGCCTTTTATGATGC